ATTTGCAATAAAGATCTATTACAAGAAATAAAAATAGTGCTTTTTTTCATGGAACTCCATTTAGCTTCTAAATTTCCCCCCAAAAAGTGGAATATAAACAAATCCAGCATGTATCAGTCATTTACTATATGGATGTATTTTTAAGTGTGACAATACAGATTTTTTTAAAAAGAATATTACTTTATGCTTACTAAATATCCTTCAAAAGATGTTTTGCAGATTGATTGATTTATTACATTTTATTATGTTTATTACATTTATATGCCGCCCTTTTCCCCGAAGGGGACTCAGGGCAGCTCACAATTCAATCAGGGAAGGAGGTACAGACAGGGGGATAAAAAAAAAGACGAGACATAACAATACAAAATTTAAAAACACACAACAACCATACCATTCGAGAAGGGGGGCAAAAACTCTTTAGCCCCAGGCCTGTCGGAACAGCCAGGTTTTAAGGGCTTTGCGGAAGGCCTGGAGGGTGGTGAGGGTTTGAATCTCCACGGGAGCCCATCTTCAGGGAACTTCTCTCTCACTGTAATGAGAAGTTTCCTGAGGTTGGGTTCTAACATGAGCCCGAAAGCCTCTGGTCCTAGTGAGTGATCCAGATTGGCTTCTATAGTTTGTTTAGTCTACCACTGCTCCCAAGGCAGATGTGCATTGCTGTTTGTTTTTTAAAACCTGCTTTTTTTCCTGGTATTGGTTGATTTGCTTTTGGGATTGACAGATATTGATCGGGAGCAATTTGCCTCACCCGTTTGGACTCACGCTTTACGGAGCTCGGATATACTGGACAGACTGGCAGACGAAAAGCATCCAGAGTGCAGACAAGAGGACAGGGCTGGATCATGAGACTCTACAGGACAACCTGGAAAACCTTATGGATATCCATGTCTTTCATCGACAGAGACCTGCAGGTATGGAGGTCTTCTGCATCAAGATAAGAAGTTACACGTCTTTGGGCTCCAGATAGAAAGAGCTTCAGGTTTTTCATTCTACTTTTACAGTGCCATAATGTTCATGGAATCGCTAGAGGGCACCCATTGTTACCCACCAGCTCCCCTTTTTTAATTCTACAGGTAGTCCTCAACTTTTGACCACAACAGGGATTGGAAAATTAATTGTTAAATGGTGTGGTCGTAAGTGAGGCATTATGTGACTACAGCCAATCTTTTTTTTTTATGTGGTCTTTAAGCAAATCACCACAGGCATTAAGTGAGTCATCACGGGACTGTGACTTCCATGAACTTCCCTACCAACTTTCCCATTGATTTTGCTGGTCAGAAGCTGGTTGGAAAGGTTGCAAATGGCAGTTATGTGACTCCAGGACATGGCAATTGCTGTAAATGCTCAAAGGATGCCAAGTGCCCAAATCATGATCACATGCCATAAATGCAAGGACCAGCTGTAAATTGCTCTTTTTCAATGCAATCATAACTTCAAATGTTGTATAAATGAATGGTCAAGAACTACCTGTAATAATGTTGTTGTTGTTGTTGTTGTTGTTTAAATTAGGCAGGACCACATGTAAAAGTAACTGGAACCATGCTTGATTTTATTTTGTTTACATATTAAGTTACATTAGCAATAATTACATTAATTCAATTCAGTTAATGGAAGAGCTTGGATAACCTTTTGTCTTAAATGGTATAATGTTTCCTGCCTAAGCAGGGGGTTGGACTAGAAGACCTCCCAGATCCCTTCCAACTCTGTTATTCTAAGACACATATTATCACTCTACCTTTGTTAGATTAAAAACTATAAATTGGTGTGGATTTTTGATGAGCTGGGGATTTTGCTGAAAGATTTGGAACCCTGAAGTATCAGTTTGCACATCTGTTTGTTTTAATGGAAAATACTCCCTTACCCAATTCATTCATTCATTCATTCATTCATTCATTCATTCATTCATTCATTCACTCACACACACACACACACACACACACACACACACACACACACACACACGCCTATAGAATTTTGTAAACCACAGTTATTCGTAATTGTTTTCTGTTGATACATGGTTTTGCTACTATCTCTTTCAGTACATACACCGTGCCACATTAATAATGGTGGATGTAGTCATCTTTGTCTCTTGGCTCCACTTCCTAAAGGCTACAGCTGTTCTTGCCCGACTGGCATCAACCTACAACCAGATGGCAGAACATGTTTATCTGGTGGGTGTCTTATCTTCTGTGGTTCTATTAATCCCTGGAAGAGAGTAAGACCTCCTAAACCCCACATTCCGTCCCTAGAAAAGTTGTACATTCAAATTACAAGAAGTATTTTACCTAAATACCTGTTCTACTTCAGGTAGAATTTTATGTGTGCTACAGTATTTATTACTACTTTTCAGCCAAAGGTATGAATAGCTTTGATTATGATGACATGTCTACATAAAATGTGTTCCTATATAAATTAGGTCTGATCACTTACTAAAATAGATAGAATCTGGACTACTATGCTTTGTAGTATCAGACATAAATGCCTTAACAGAGAGCTTGGTAAAGTGGAATAGTTGTATTTGTGGAATCCTTCCTGCTTTTCAATATTATGCAATATTTTGTTTTACTAAGTTTAATAACATTAAACTGTAAACATATATCAGTTTACACATGAAAATGTCACTAGATTTGTTGGAACCTGTTGAATATGATAAATACATAATTCGTGTATTGGTTTAATATATATACAATCTGAAGACATGAATATTTTTTAATATTCTGGACCTTATTTGTAGTGATTCTGATTATCGCAATTTATTTTATTTGGCTTGCAGTAGTATTTAGCTTGTAGTAAAGTACTTTTGGTAAATTATATTGAACAATATTTTTCTTTAAGCCTATGCTTAAAAATAATTATTACATAGTTGAAGAACCACATTCAGTATTTCTAATGATCTTTCATCACATTTATGGCCCTACTTTTATGGTCTTGGATAAATTGGTGGCTTTAGTCATTGCCAAGATCACCTTTGCCAGCTGATTTTTTGTTGCAGTAAGAAGGGACATTTGAGAAAAGGAATTACTGTAAATTATGCATTGAACTCCGTTTTCAATTTTGCAGGAATGACTACCTTCCTGATCTTTGCAAGAAGGTCAGATATTCGTCTGGTTTCACTTGATATTCCATATTTTGCTGATGTAGTTGTCTCAGTCAATGTCACTATGAAAAACACCATCGCCATTGGAGTTGATCCTGAAGAAGGTTGGCAATATGTAATTTAACCTTATTAGGTGTGGAATTATTCAGGGCAGAGTAAATGAAAGGCAACTTGTCCAATAAGTGGTGTGATTCATATTAAACAACATATTCCCCTAGGTTCATGAAATCATTGTAAAAGAAATGTCCAAGTCTTATTAAAGCAACTGTTTCCAAACTAATATGGCTCCAAAGACCTTCAAATGGAACTCCAGAATTCCTACAGGCCATGTTCCTGAAAATTTTGGGAGCTGTAGTCCCAATATATCTACTAGGCACCAGACTGAAGAAAGCTGGTTTTGAGGATAGCTGAAAAAAATTCCCTGCTTCAATGCTCTTGTACATATTCAGAAAGCAGTTTTCCCCAAAAATAATTTTCAAGGCAATTGTATTCCACATAGGTTCTGCCCTGGTGAAATGTAGTGTTTTTCAACCTTGGAAACTTTTAAGATGTCTGGACTTCACCTCAGAACATGTTACTGTGGTAGTCCAAGAATTGAAGTCCATAAATCTTAAAACTGATAAATGCATGTATGTGTGATGTGTATGTATGGAATAATAGCATATTTTATATTAATATTATAGTGATGGTGTGTGTCTTCATTAAACATCACATGGTATATTCATAAATAATTTGCTGCTGTTTTTGCTTTTCTTGACAGATGGATATAGAGATATATGCTTTCTTACTTACTTTCCTCCATCTTTTTCTAGCAATAATAGAATAAATAATAGATTGATGACATAAAAGACCCAGAAGACACACTTTACAGTGTTGCTTTTCACCAAAATAATCTTAGATATTTATGGACTAACAAGGGAATTTAATTTCAATAAATGAAACTAATGTTCTTATGTTTTTTCAACAGGAAAGGTTTATTGGTCAGACAGCACATTGAGGAAGATCAGCAGAGCTTCACTGGATGGGTCTCAGTATGAAGATATCATTACTACAGGTAAATAAATAGATGGCTTGGTAAATACTGAACATCTGCTCCAGACTCTTTCAAAGATATGATTTTTTTTTTGCATTATCTTCACCTAATGCAACTTCTAAAGCTCTAATATAAAGGTTGCAGTGGTGGGATTCAAATTTTTTTACTACCGGTTCTGTGGGCGTGGCTTGGTGGGCGTGGCAGGGCATACTGTAAAATCTCTATTTCCTCCCCATTCCAGGGGAAGGATACTGCAAAATCCCCATTTCCTCCAGATCAGCTGGGACTTGGGAGGCAGAGAATAGATGGGGGCGAGGCCAGTCAGAGGTGGTATTTACCAGTTCTCCGAACTGCTCAAAATTTCCATTACCGGTTCTCCAGAACTGGTCAGAACCTGCTGAACACCACCTCTGAAAGGTTGCCATGAACATCCAGGGGATATTGTGAGGAAACAGGATAGTAAATGCAGTATTTGTTACTAACACTATAACAATAATATATGGTATTTCTTTTGATGTAGGGTTACAAACCACAGATGGATTAGCTGTGGATGCTATTGGCCGCAAAGTGTATTGGACTGATACAGGAACAAACAGAATTGAAGTGGCTAACCTGGATGGGACAATGAGAAAAGTTTTGATATGGGAAAATCTGGATAGCCCACGGGCAATTGCATTATATCATGAAATGGGGTGAGTGCTAACAGTGGATTGCCTTGTTTTCAAGGCAAAATCTGCAGAGGAGACGAGAACATAACAATAAGTAATATGTTGACTTTTCAATGGATAGTTTATTTGCCCCCCTTTTTTCCCCTTTAGGTATATGTATTGGACAGACTGGGGTGAAAATGCTAAACTGGAACGAGCAGGGATGGATGGCTCTAACCGCATGGTGCTTATTAGCAACAATCTGGGATGGCCTAATGGTCTGGCTGTGGATAAAGCTGGATCGCAACTATTTTGGGCTGATGCACATACTGAGGTTAGAATGACATGAGGGACAGTCTACAATTTTGAATGTTTGTGTAGAAAGTTGCCTCAAGGTGAAGCAATGTAATGTAAAGATGAGTATGAGATTTTAGGGATTAAGAATAAATCTGGACATATATGCATGTTCATCACTCTGAGATTCTAACACCATTCAATGACTTGCGTGTCTAAAGCACCCATAACCAATCAAACTTTATTGCTTAAACTTCATATTGGTTGACATTGCATCGACTTCTGTTTCACTTGGATATATTTATATACAGGTAGTCCTTGACTTATGACCACAATTGGGATCAGAATCTTGGTTTTTGAGCAAAGCGATAGTTTAGTGACATGTCATGTCACTCAATGACCACAATCCAGTTTTGGTGATTAAATGATTGGGCAGGTTGTTAGCCAAATGGAGTCCTAGATAAGGAGTGTGGGATGCTTCAGGAGGTAGGGGAGACCTGGGAGGTTTCCTTCAGGAGCTAAAAATCCCCCCTGCCACAATCTAAGCAGGATTTTCAGCTCAGAGTGAAGAGACCCTTGTGCATGACCTGTGCCATGTCTCCCAGGCATCCCTACCACCTGTTCCTTATCTTACCACATTTTGCTTGCATTTTGGCTCCCTTGTCCCTGGGGGCTGGTTATAAGAGCTGTCTGCCAAAGGAGTTCAGCTCCCCTCTGCACATGGAAGCAATTCCTTCATTGGGGTGCAGAAACAGAGCCAAAATCCTCCAGAACCAAATGAGTTCAGTTCCCTCCATGCAAGGAAGGGAACTCCTTTGGCAGGGCGCAAGAACAGAGCCAATATCTCCAGGATTTCAGTTGTTTCTGCACCCTGCTGAAGATGTTCGCCTCTCTTGGGATACAGCTTCTTTCAGTGAGCTTCCAGAGACATGAGGGAATCCTCTTGGCAGACAGCAGCAGGTTGCAACTTTTCCTGCCAGCTTCCCCATTGACTTTCTGGGGAAGCTGGTAGAGAAGATGGCAATCACAAGCCTGCAGTGTGGTTAGCAACCAGTCATGTGTGTTCAGGTTACCAAGCAACCAGATTGCGAGGGTATCATAGTTCATGGAGTGTAAAGCATCCTTTCTGAGGCTATCATAATTCTGGACTATTATTAAATGAATGATCGCAAATTGAGAACTACCTGTATTGCTGTCTGATGAGTTACAGATAAGAAGCAAAGAGAGTCAGATTTTAGAATCTAGATATGGTAGCTTGGAATCTTTCTGTGACTTGCTTCAATCTTTTATATATGTATATTGTCTCTGAGAAAAAAAACTTAGGATGATGAGTTAACTCACAAATCTGTCTCACAAGGCATGGATGTCTTCTTTTCAAATTGGAAATGGAGCATTAAAATCACTGTTGATTTTCTTAAAGGTATGCCCTGATGAGGCGCCCAAATGATGGCCTTATTGATAGCTAGATTAATACAATAAATTAAATCCTAATCACAGAATAGCAAAGTCTATTTCCTATGTTCTCAAAACCTGCTGATCCAAACACATAAGATGGAGTGATCAACACAACATGCTGATCACTGGGTAGACGCCTTTTTTAGCCTGGTCCAGAGTGCTATGGAAATCCAGCCGATCAACAGTTGATTCATTGCATAGCATAGTTGGGAAGTCAAGATACATTTTGCTGACTTCATTTCTTCTGGCAAGGCTTTTCTTTTCTTTTTTGTCTTATGGAATCCTTGGGTGAAATTGAAATATAGTTTAGCAGAATGCTAGAAATAAGCATCTAGATTACACTATTATTGGGCTTCTTGGATCCTAGGAAGAGTTGCTACCTATTGGAGGTCTCTGAATCCGTAATCAAAAGTTTCTTGACATTCCAACCTTCTGTTCTTTTCAGCGTATCGAAGCTTCAGATCTAGATGGCGCAAACCGCCACACCCTGCTCTCCCCAGTGCAGCACCCTTATGGCCTAACTTTATTAGATACTTTCATCTATTGGACTGATTGGCAAACAAGAAGCATTCACCGAGCTGATAAGAACACTGGTGCTAATGTCATCTTGGTGAGAACAAATCTTCCTGGATTAATGGATATCCAGGGCATTGACAGAGGGAGACCTCTTGGTAAGTTTTCCTATTTTCTTTAAGCTAGACTTCCTGAATTTTCATGGGCATGCTTTAATTCTTGAAAATAACTCATGTACAGTATTTTTCGGACTATAAGATGCACCAAGATTTTGAAGAGGTAAGTAAGAAAAAAAAATGTTGTCCTCCCTGGCCCACAGGAGCATTTTGCAGGCTTCAACAGGGCTGGGTGAAGGCAAAAATGCCACCCGTTTTTTGTGAAAAATGGGCAGAAATGGGGATTTTTGCCTTCCTCCAGCCTTGCTGAAACCTGCAGAGTGCTTCTGGAGGCTGGGGGAAGGCAAAAATCCCTCAGTTTTTCACCTGTTTTTTGCAAAAAAGGGCTTTGGGAGGCCAAAAATGGCTGTATTCGGTGTATAAGACACACCAACATTTCCACACTCTTTTAGGGGGAGGAAAGGTGTGTCTTATACTCTGAAAAATATGGTATTTTTTTGTAAAAAGCAACCAGAATGTTTATTTAGTCTCCAGACATTTCCTGTAGATTTTACTCCATTGTTTATTCTTATTGTTCAAGCACAATTCCTTAGGCCTTGTTAGCCTGAGAGTTATGAAATCAAAAGCTCAATTATATCTGGAGGGCATTAGCCTGAGGAAAGCTATACTGAATTAATATTAGCCTTTTTGATGGTAATCTCAGATCTGATCCATTTCTCCTAAGGTACTAACAAATGTGGCGTGAAAAATGGAGGTTGCTCCGATCTCTGCCTCCCAAACCCGGAAGGCTTGTCATGTGCCTGCCCTACTGGGATTCAACTGAAGATCGATGAAAGATCTTGCGATCCTTCTCCTGAAACCTACCTGCTCTTCTCTAGCCGGGGCTCCATCAGGAGAATCTCACTAGATACTAGTGATCACATTGATGTTTATGTCCCTGTCCCAGAGCTGAACAATGTTATCTCCTTGGACTATGACAGTGTAGATGGCAAGGTTTATTACACAGATGTCATATTAGATGTCATTAGGTAGGTATCTTCCAAATTCCTCATTCTATGTTAATTAGCTACATAATCATATTTTTCCCCCAAACTGTTCTTTGTCAAAGGAATCTGCCCTATGGAAAAATATTGAGATAGAATGTTCTTCTTATTCTCTATGATATCTTTTTCCAGGAGAGCAGATCTAGATGGCAGTAATATGGAAACTATTATTGGCCAAGGACTAAAGAGAACAGATGGTTTGTCTGTGGACTGGGTAGCTCGAAATCTATATTGGACAGACACTGGCCGCAACACAATTGAAGTTGCAAGACTGGATGGAAGCTGCAGGAAAGTGCTGATAAATAACAGTCTGGATGAACCACGGGCCATTGCTGTCTTTCCTAGAAAAGGGTAAGTGGTTGAAAGGTCAGCATTAGCAAAAATATTTACTTAAATAATTTATTGCATTAGGGACAAAAATTCTGAAAAGGTAAGTGTAGAGTAACTTTCCCAACCTGGTGCCTTCAAGATATTTGGGGCTACTATTCTCACTAGTTATGTTATCAGGAGGGAGCTGCTATGTTATCACGAGTTATGTTATGTTATCAGGAGGGAGCTGTTCCACTTGGAAGATGCCAGGTTGAGGAAGGGATAGAATGAGTAGGAGAGAAAAAGGAAGAGGATTGGCTAAAGTAGAGGTCTGCCTTCCGACATAAGGCAAATGGATTTCTTTGGTAGACAGGCCATCTTTTAGAGCTGACTGACATGTAACATTTTGCATTTGATTCGTTTTCTTCTAGGTACCTCTTCTGGACTGACTGGGGACATATTGCTAAAATTGAACGAGCAAACCTGGATGGTTCTGAACGAAAGATATTGATCAATACTGATTTAGGCTGGCCCAATGGACTGACTTTGGATTATGACATCAGAAGGTCAGTATAACCTTGCATTTTGAAATTATTGACTGGAGAACTGTTGTGTTTTTTTTAAAAACTTTACTTTTTTATAAGGCAAATCCCTGGGCTGCCTTAGAATCAGAAATTGTAACCGAAAGAAAGTTTCAGACGTGGATATTAGTTTAACTTCCATTCTTTCTCTCCTTCTAGAATTTATTGGGTAGATGCTCATCTAGACCGCATTGAAAGTGCTGATCTTAATGGGAAATTACGCCAAGTGTTGATCAGTCAAGTGTCACATCCCTTTGCCTTGACACAGGTACAAAGGAAGGTGGGGTGGTGAATGCTGAAATGAAACTTAACTGCTAAACTAATAGTTTGTTTATTTTGTGCACAATGGACAAAGTTTATACAGATCTCCTTTTTCTTTCTGCTGTATATCAGCCTGTTAAGTGATGCTATAATCATTTAAAGAGAGGTAATGTAGTGCAATTGAGCTAATGTGCAGATGGATGAAAACAAGTTTCTTCATGGCAGAAGAATCAAGGAACAATATTGATTCCTTAGATGTATTTAAGGCTTTTGATTCTCTGGAGATCCAATTTTTAAAACAAATATTAATGATATTTAAATTTGGGACCAGTTTTTGTAAGATGATTAAACATATTGATGGTTTAACAAGAGTTCAGATTATAACAAATATATATTATTCAAATCCTATTATGATTTTAAGAGATACCAAGCAGGATTGTCCTTTATCACTTTTATTATTTAAGCTAGCCCTAGAAGCATTGGCAATAGCAATCAGATGCAATAATCAGATTTGTGGGATGCAAATGGGAGATATTTGGGGATGATTCAAATTTGAACAGATTTCAGGATTATTGATTAATTTTTGTAAATGACATCTGATTTTTCATATCTTTCAAAACTTCAAAATGAAATGCCCATAGTTTTAGGGGATTCCATAGTATATAAATCTTTATAATATTTAGGTATGCATATTTCTTACATATTAACAAAATATTTACAAAAAGTATATATACCAACATAGAAAAAATTAAGTAAGAAAATGAAAAATTGCACTTTAAAACATTTCAGTGCCTCCCAATGATAATTTATTTATGTTATTTAATTATTTATTTAAAAATTTTAAACTGCCCATCTCCCTTAAAGGACTCTGGATGGTGTACAATAAAATATTATCAACATGAAAACTACATTGAATTTAAAAAGAGACAAGCAATGTTAAAAATCAATTGAAGCTTTTTCTTTTAATTTAATTAATCAAAAGTAATTTCAGAAGAGACTTTAATACACTCGCAAAAAATGAGAGTAAATAAAATAATTTACTTTAATGTAGTTACTTGATATTACTTGAAAAATATGATATGTTGAAAAAAATACAGAAAAGAACAAGTTTTCAGTTTACACGATCCCATTTTATTCCTCTCTGCTTATTACATAGTATTTTAATCTTGTGTTTGCCTGTTTTCTGAGCAGCAGGATAGATGGCTGTATTGGACAGACTGGCAAACAAAATCAATTCAGCGTGTGGACAAATACTCTGGTCGTAATAAGGAGACTGTGTTAGCCAATGTGGAAGGACTTATGGATATTATCGTGATTTCTCCTCAAAGGCAAACAGGTATATGCAATCACCTGGGTTTCTTCATTAATTCATTGCATCAGATTAAGAAGTGAATGTATTCTCTAAACCAGTCTTTTGCAATCCGGATGATTGGATTAGAACTCTCATCAACTGATCTGGCATGGTCCTGAGAGGTGGCTGAAGAATTTAGGGGCTGTCATAATCAAAATACAGAGAATCTCTTTTTAGTTTTCCCTCTTGACAAACGATTCTGAATTGTCTACCGTTGCCTTTGTATGGATTTAGGTGCAGAAAGTAGTTGAAAGCATATCATTATGGAAAGCTATTTGGATTTAGGATCATACTTGTGAAATTATCTGCATTCCCTTCAGACACAACGGCTGGGGATAATGGCTTCACCATACAAAGTGTAGAAATTGACCTGCCTTTCAGCTTTGGCCGTTAGCTACTATTAGCCCATCTTGATTAAACAAAACTCAGGCAGGTACAAATAATGAATTAGGCAAGAAGTATGTAAAAAAACCTATGCCTCCTTTGTTGCTTATGTCCCAACCCACTCAAGGAACAAAATATCAGAGGTTGAAAAGTATAGGATTTTGATCCAAAGCATTAAGGAAGTGGTAGCTGGATGGCACCAAGTAATTACACCCGACTGCCACTTCTGGTATGCTTTATGAAACTTTTCTGAGTATGGTCATCTACTGTGTGAGCCCAGAAGAGCAAAGCTTGCTGAAGAGTAACCTCAGGTACAGCATACATGTGTGATTGGCAAAACAAAGCAAAAACCTACTCCTCGTTCTGAATCCTGGTATTATTGCTGCTATGTTCCATACTAGCAAATTGCTCTTATTCATTTCAATAGGATTTAGATTAAACGGCTGCATTTGAAAAGGAGGCCACAAGCTTGCCAGTTATACCTCTTCTTCAGCCTCCTGGCCTCTGCTAAAAGGACTCCAGGTAGAGATTAAAAAAAAACACCTATCCTTGGAGCTTGAAGAGAGACATTCGTATATTTTTAGGCAGCCAATAAATTAGAGGCCCCATACACTTTGTATATTGTCACGACATGCGTTTGACTTTTTTGAAGTTTAAAATGTCTGTGTGGTTTTTGCTCTAAAGTGTTTATTCCTTTGGGTCTTGGAGAAAGCATGGTATTTCAGATTCTGTGATGTATTGTAGGTAACTTTGGTCAGGAGAATATTCATCTAACATATTGGCACTTTGATCAGAGGAGATACTTTTCACTATACCCTAATATATACTTGGATAAGGGAACATAACGTTCTATGCTGGGGAGGAGAATATTATATCTTTTGTGAAACGTCTGGTCTGTATCTTCTAGGCACAAACATTTGTGGAGTGAATAATGGAGGCTGTACCCATCTCTGCTTTGCCAGGGCTTCTGACTTTGTTTGTGCATGTCCCGATGAACCAGATGGACGGCCTTGTTTTAATGGTAGGTTGTTTGTATACTACACCTCCCAGCATGAATCATAGCCCATGTTTTCTCTTATTAAAAGCTGCTTGAGAAAAATGGGTTCATTTCCTTAAATGAACTACAGCTATAAAAGTACCTCTTTGGTAAAGCATTCAAATGCCTAGGGACAAAAGAGTACTATTTGTCTTTTTTTTTCACTGTTTCATTTAAAAATGTTAAATATTTTTTCCTTGAGAAGATTGTTCTATCTTTCAGATGTCTGATATATACTGTGCCTTCCTTCTTCAATTCTTTAATATTAGAATACAATTCAGAACAGTTTGTTATATTTCACTAGCAATTTGTGTGTAGTGTTTTTAAACATTTTCCTACACATAATATTAGATGTAATTTAGGAATCATTCATTAGTAGATAAAATAAGACCTTTCTGATATATGTTTTCCATTGCATTTACACAAGTTCTAGATTCCTGTCAAACTAGAAGTGCTAATTTCTCATTTTTGTTCTCACAGTACAACACTACATATTGCATTACAAGAAGAATGTTATACGCTTCTGCTATATCTTGAATAATGAAAAAGTTTATATTTCCATAAATAAAAAGGCCAGGCTTCATGGTCTCCTTTGTCTCAGGTTATTTTCCTTTTTCTTCTGTCTAGTTCCTAGCATGGGGCCTCCAAATCCTGAGACAACTCATATAAGCAAAAGGAGCCAGACTTCTACTGACAGATTTAAAACTCCAACAACCAAGCCCCATATTTCTGTGGAAACAATAGAAGGAAAGTGAGTGGTTCTGCTTTATTGAAAGGATTGAAGGGAAAATGTTGGGTCCAATCTCTTTTTTAAATAGGCTCCTCTCTCTATCTATTTTTTTTTAAACTGCAAGATTTTGGACATCAAGTTGTGTACCTCTTTATCAGATGATAAGGGATCATAGCTAATCCATTAATTCCAACCATTCAGATATAACATGCATTCTTCTCCCCTTATAGTGACAGTTCATTGTGTTATATTAAACAAAGGTTTTTCTAATAATAACAGCAGCAATAACTTTGGGCTATAAAGGTTCTTCTTTTTACCTACTTTTCTGCTTTATCTTAGTTCAATTTAACACAGTTTCTAATAGGAAGATGGCTTCATTTGAAACTCAATATCTACTTTTTCTTGCTGTTATATAGCTGCTCTGACAAGAAAGTTGGTCAAGGTTTGTGCAACCGAGCAAATGAAGCAATATTGGCAACTGCAGGTGAGTTTTTCATGTTTGTCTTCACTTCATCTCAGGGATTCAAGAACAGTAGAAATGATCAACTATTGCTATAATTAAGTTGGAGCCATTTGAATGAAAGGTTTGTAGGTTGACAAAAAAGTAACGTGTTTAGTTCGCTATCTTGCACATCAGCTGTTTTATTTTGCAACTTTTTTTATTTTTCTCAATAAATCTTAGTGGGAACTAAGATGCTAATACTGAATGAAACCACAGCAGATCACCTAGTGATTTCAGATACATATATTAATCCAGTTCTGTTCATCATAATCTAATAGGTAATAAAATGTAAATAAATACTTAACAATCTAGGACGGGGGTGTCCAGCTGGCAGCCCATGGGCAGGATGCGTCATGTGCAGGCCACACCCACCCTGGCCCACAACGGAAAAAAAACTCACAATATGTCACAATACATCATGTGACACAATCGAGTTTGACACCTGTGATTTAGGACACACAGGTTTTTACTACCGCGAATATATAGTTGTAGAATGACAGCATCACCCTTAATCTGACTGTTTTATCTTCTTTCAGGAGAAGGGCTACATGTCAGTTACATCACTGGAGGTCTTCTCAGTATACTGAGTATTCTGCTGCTGATTGGTGCTGTGATTATATACAGGTAATTCTATATCTTCCTTCAATCTTTCTGAATTAATGTATCAGAATACTTTTAAGCACATGCCAGGATTTCTTTGAACTCAGTACTGTAAATCATAAGAAAATTTATCATTTTACCTTGCAAAACTAATAGATGAGACAGTGTAGTATTCTTACAGGATAACTGGAGTTTAGAAGCAAAATAATGCTAGACAATAAAGATCAGATGCTTGTTTATTTACATAACTTAATTTGTAAGAAAACCTTTCTTTTCATATACAGTACTTCTGTAAAATTCAAGATAGGTAGGATAAGTGGTAATGGAGTTTCACATTCAAAGGATTGGACTTCTTTTATTTATGTATGGTGTATCTATGTATGCTGCCTGATAATTGTAAGTAGGCATATAATGGAATATTAAACTTGCTTTGGCTTAAATCTTTCATTTTTAAATAGATACTTTCCTTGTTTGTGAATGGTATTGTTTATTACTTTGCCAGGATGAAACAAAATACACTTTGTCTCTTTAAACAGATGTACCAATGAGTATACAATTAACATTCAGTTAATATGTACATCAATGGTACATATGATGAAGTATACATTACTTTGCCATGAATTTCACTAGGTTTTTTTGGTGTAGGGATGAGGTTTGTCTGTAGAACTTTGCAAGAGCAAATGTTTTTAAGGAAATGCATTGAGACGCAGAGTGGCCTTGGACTAGTCACACATTTCTCACTCTGAACTGTCTACTGCATTGTTGATATGGAAATAAAAGGAAGGGCGACCTCCATGGTAGCAGTAAATGTATAGATCAGAATCTATTAAATAGAAAAATGTTTTCTCTTTATCATATTGTTCCTGCAGGCATAAGAAATCCAAATTCACAGATCCTAATCTAAGTAATCTGACCTACAGTAATCCCTCTTATCGGACATCTACCCAAGAAGTGAAGATTGAAACAGTTCCCAAGCCAGCCATATATAATCAGCTCTGCTTTAAGAAGGAGGTAAAGAGCTCTTTTCAGAACTTGATATTAATCTGCTGTGGAATTAAAAACAAAATTGCAGCAGCGCAATTTATTTGTATTATGGGAATCTTTAGCTGCCTTAGACAGTCAGAAAATTGGAATGTCTTGTTTTAGTTATATTAATTATAGTCTTTGCTGCTTTAATCTTAGGATCTTCTAATGTGTATCTTCTACTTTGAGTTGGTCCAGCTGATCTGATCTGGAATTCTTACTGCGCTGTGTCTATTGGTGTTTTGCTACCTATTAATATTATGGTTGAAGGAAATCAATAATAGTTTTAAGAATTTAGCCATTTCTTTTGGTGCTGAAGTCTCCTCTGTTTCTTCCTCAGCATCTTTCTCACCCCTCTGATAGCCTTTCACCATTCCTCTTTTGACCATCCACAGCCTCATATCAGGTATCATAGCTGAGTTTGTGCAACTTCCACCTTCCTTATTTCTGTTACGTTAAGTAGCCTAATGCTCTCTGATGTAACTTCTGCTTGGCTAACTTTCTGCTTTGTGTTGCTGAACTACTGTTGTTGTTTCTGCCCTTAGAAAGAAGTACTGGAAAAAATATATATAATTGCCCTTGTTAAGTCATTTTATACTGCCTCGATTTTGTTTTTACATTTGCATCTAGCATGTAATCAAAAAGTGATCAGCCAAAAGAGGCCTTTTGAAAGAGGTGAAGCATGATTTAGAGGAAAACTACTTTACCTTGAATAGTTCTCTCCTTTCCAATGCATCTTGCTTGATTTGGAGACATATTACCTTGTGCTGTTTGTTTTTATACAAAAATTAATTATGGATTGCTTGGTGTAGTACTTCTCATTTTCAATAAAGATTTTCCCTTGGAAGTTTTTAATATTGCATAAATCAGATATTGCAATATTTCTATTTTTTACTATACTTTCTCTACAGAAGATTAGACACAATTTTCAGAACTGTGGACAGGGAGGGGTCTCCATAAGATATATGTAACAGCAAACTTCTGCACTTGTTATTTTGGTATTGATTCCTAGTTTAATAATTGCTTATATTAATAGTATTTTGCTATGTCATTGTTTCTAGTAGTTCCTCATTTGTAGTTTCTTCTGATTTTTCAATTTCAAGATTTTTGCTTGAACTTTTTACTATTGTCTCTCAATATATTTATTGCTTCTTTTACTAACGCTTAAGTAAACTGAATTTGCAAAGACATTTCTCAGAAATTGGTAGGCTAGATAGTATTTCATACTTGCAGAATTTTACAAATTTGAGAAATTTACACCAATGCATTACTATTTGATATTGAGCTCCAGAATGCTCAAAAACTTTTTGCCTTCCATAAATCATCCTCAAATGTGTGCCTTTTTCAGATTTTTTAATTAAGAATATTTTGCATAACTTTGTAACATTTTGCTTTTGTGAGTTGTTTCATTCTTTGCTTCCTTATCATTTACATTCTAAGAGTCAAAGGAAAGTTTTTCTATCTCTAGTTAATCTTAGAGTCTGTGTTTGTTTGCATTTAATCCAGGTGTGTCCAAGTTTTTGACTTGCCTGGGCTGCATTTGGGTGAAGAGCAATTGTCGTGGACAGCTATAAAATATATAATACAGTTTACATATATAAATAACAAGCTTCCTCTATTTTAAAATAATGTTTATTATATATTGTGGGCCTGCATTATTAACTGTCCAAGGATGTATTTGGCCCATAGGCTACAGGTTGGACATACTGATTTAACTTATCTCACCTAAGTGATTCTAGGTATGGTTTACAGGATTAAAATTCATTCTCTCTCCCCCTCTTCCCCCCGCATCTCTCTCTCTCTCTCTCTCTCTCACACACACACACACACGCACACACACACACACACACACACACTCTACCCAAGGAACCTTGACTCCACTCATCACCACCACCACCAAAGCACATCCAGTCTATCCCAGATGTCTGTGGGAACAGTCAAGTCTTGCAGAAAGCTAACAGTTTCCAAATCTCTGGGAGGTGTGGATGCTGTTCCCCAAGACATGTGCTGCTACTGAAAATGTACTGAAAAGGCACAACTTGGTCCAACAAGTTTACATTGTTTAATGGAAGGGATCCAGAACAGGTCCTCTCTACTAGTTCTGGTGGGGTGAGCAGAAACAATGGGGCAAAGGCAATCCTGCAGATACTTGGTCCTATGTTACAGTGGGCTTTATAAGTGATGACTTTGAATTGCACCTGAGAGCCTACTACCAATATTGTTTAGAATCCCATCTTTAGATCAACTTGTCCCCTATAGGTTGTTTTGTTTGTAGCACACTGTTAAACCTGAATTAATTCAAATTGGTCTTCAATGTTTGAAACTATATTTCTTGACTCCACTAGTCTTCATATTTGGAGGGCGCCAAACTGAGAATGTCTGATTTAGATGGGACTAAGATGATTTGTTGGGAAGATTATCTGCCCCTTAAGTTGGAGGATATAGTCCATTGTTTCTTTATTCACATGACAGGAATTAGTCTTTCAAAAGTACTCTGCTTTTTATACTTGATGTACATGTCTTGGTATTATTTGTTTGCAGACTGGTCCTGATCATAGTTACACCAAGGACAAGATCAAGATTGTTGAAGGAATATGCCTGTTATCCAATGATGAATCTGAATGGGATGATCTCAAACAGATAAGAAGCTCTCGTGGATGTATTCTCCGCGACCATGTATGCATGAAGACTGACACAGTCTCTATCCAAGCCAGCTCTGGCTCACTGGGTGACACTGAAACTGAGCAATTGTTGAAAGAGGAGCAGTCAGAATGCAGCAGCATCACTGCAGCCACTACTCCTGAATGCCATGGCTCCCTTCCAGACACAGGCTGGAAGCACCAGCGCAAGCCCTCAACAGAAAGTGAAGTCTAAAGAATATGCAGAGACTTGTCCTTCCTAGTGTCATCCTTCACATTGATGAAATAGGATCCTGCCTTCTATTCAACAAAAAAAGTTTGGAGTCCAGAGACTTCCTTTGCAGAAGCTTTTGAGCTGGACTGTGCCTTTGAGGCAGATGGAACATAGCTAAGGGACCCTTTTCACTCACTGCTAGGTCATGTTTATTTATACATCCTTTCATCCTAGAAGCTGTGGTGTTGAATCTAGTAGCAGTTTCTTTTTCACTTGAATCTGACACAGCTTTCATCTGGGCTTGTGCATAAGCTGGTCGAAGATTTCAAATCTTCAGTGGCCAGTTTCATGAACTTAGGCATAATTGATACCTGTTACCTTTTCTCAGAGGGTATTGGCACTAACTGGATTTTGCACTGTACTCCTTCTGTTTTAAGAGGAAAGGGTTAGGGCCAATTGAACTGCCTGAAGTGAACAAGGGAATACAAGAACAGGTCACTTTCACAGGTTCTGTACAGGGAGAGCAAATACATCTGAAACTTAATTGCAAGGGACAATAAAATATCACCACCATTTTTACAAGCTGGGGAATCACTACTGCGTCTAATGTAGGATGTGAGGAATTTAAGAGGTAAAATCTTAGTCTGTTGCTGGCAACAGTCATTGGTCCTGTGACATCCATAATAATACCCTTTTTAAAATATAGATAGAACTTACAAATGTTTCCTGGGTAGACTGTTATTCCCATTTTCACTGGGCTTCCATTTAGTTTTGACCTGCAAGGTAAATTCTGGTGCAACGTTATTTAATCATTCTTATTACCTGGCTCACAGGGCCAACTGCTGAAAAACTGTGCTGCTGAAATATGTGTGGAACACAAAAGCAGTGTATTAGATTTAAGTATCTGGAACAAATTGGTGTAGCAAAAATCCAGTTCCAATTTTCTGTTGAAAAATAGGGGTCTTCTTCTAACTTATTTTTTTGCCAGTCTTTTTAGAAATCCTGGAAGGAATAATTTAGCTGCACCTTTTTCTCATATGAATTGAGCAGATAAAATGTGGTGTCAAAAAGTGGGTGTGTGCAATTGAAAAATAATGTATGTGGATAGGAAATAATGCACAGTTAAGATGACAGATGGCACACTACAAATAATTTGCCTACATAAAATTCCTTCCCTTTTAACTACATTAAAATGATGCTATTACTCATTCTATGCTATAACAAAAAGTCAAAAGCTGAGAAAATGCCATTTCACAATATGCACTGTGACTTATACAACAAAGAATAGTGTTTTGCACATTGTCCAAACTTTATTTGACAACACAGAAGTTCTACGGAAGTCCTATCTAGAACTATTAACCATATGAGGTATTCTCTGGGAAAATGTGATTGTCGCATTCTAGTCCTACAGCTGCTCCCCCATGGTTAGTGAAAGATGCATGGACAATGGTTGTGTCCCTGTGACTTCAGTCTTGATGAAGAGAACAAACTATTCTATGCCCAAACTAGTCGTCCATCTACTTTCTGCTTTGTGTATTGTTCAAGGAAGAAGGCAGGAAAAATTCAAATGGATTCATGGACCACTGCAAGATTATTTTTTACCTCTGTTCAAAATCATCATGTTGTAACTTTATTACATCATTTCTTCCACTGAAAGAAATATAGCTTTCTTTTCTTTTCCAAATATATATTGTTATCAGCAAGTTGACTTAACAATTTCCACCCTTGAGCATTGGATAAACCATCCAGAATAATCATACATAGAGAAAAATGTTTCCCTGATTATGTTCAAAGGGATCCTTTCAGTACAGAGCTTGGTCATAGCAGCTATATAATGGCCGCAAGGATAGCTGCTGTTATGAATGCATATGTATGAGCGCTTCACAACCAGGCATTTACAGCCATCACACCATCCCATGGTCACATGATCACTATTTGCACGTTTCACAATCGGCTTCCAATAAGCAGTTAGTAAAGATGTAAGGTCATAAATTGCAATTGGTAGTAATCACTTTCAGATAAGTCTGTTCCCTTAATGACCACATGGCTTAACAATAGAGTTGCCACTTCCAATTGTGGTTACTAAGCAAGGACCACCTGTATCTGCTATACATCAGTTCAATCTGGATTTGAAAGTCTGTTTTGTGGCATAATAGGTATACATTGAAGTATAATAAGTACATCTTCCTTGTGCAGTTCTTTTTTGAAAACAAAATGTATTATGTTATATTCTAATTTCATAAAGTAAATCAAGATATGAAACTTCTTTCAGGCCAACTGGCATTTTAGTGATACACAAAAAAAATGCAATCTAAAGAGTGGATAGGTCAGAAAGAGTTTTAATATGATCTCATTTAATTGATCTGTGGTTAATATTAGTACCAAACTTTGTATCTAATAATATAATTCTGTGACGGAAATATTAATTTCACATATTTCTGATAGCCAGCTAAGAGTCTATTTTCAGTTTTCAAATTTTTCCCCACCCTTTCTTGCAGAAATCTAGCTCAGAAATGTTCTTGAATTATCTTACATATATGGCACATTTGAGATCCTCCTACAGATTTTCAATTGTATTAAAGACTGGGGATTGTGAAGACTACAGGTGTCAAACTCGCTGTGTCACGTTGCCGTCATGTGACATTTTGCAATGTTTTTCCCATTCATGGAGCTGTGGTGGGTGTAGCCTGCGTGTAACACCCCTGGGAAGACCATTCCAAAATCTTTTATAAAGATGTTAGAAAGTACTAATAGGGAATCAAACTTTTGCAATCTGCCGTATATTGGTAGTACTCATTTAGTGATTGCTTCAAAGAGCGACTGTTCAGTTATGTGATGAAAATTTGTGATCAATGCCTGTATTTACAACCTTTGCAGCATCTTCTCTCCCACTCTATCACATTTGACATTACAGTCATTCAGCATGGTACCATATTGTTGTTTGCCTGACCCATTTTTTTTCCTTTTGCCCCCTCATAGGGCAGAGATATAGCTTCTTAGCTCTTCCTGAGCTGCTTTTGTCCAAGTCCCTAAAAAGTACTAACCACAATTTAACAAGCTCAGAACGTGACTTTAATTAGTTGATTAGAACCTTCCAGCCAGCTGGTAGCTGCTGCTTGAAAATGACAATATCTTAATTAATTTCTCGCTAAAGCCTTTTGTTTGGCTCTAAGAGGATTCTGGCTCTCAGGAGAAGGAAGTCCCAAAGGTGCTTTTTTTCTCCAAGAGGCAACTGGACTTCTTGTTTTTCTTTGAAGACATTTTGCTTCTCGTCCAAGAAGCGTCTGCATTTCTAGCTGAAATCCAATTGCCTCTTGAAAAAAGTATCTCTGAGACAGCCAAGACCTGGATGATTGAGAACCTCCATAGATGGAAGCAAGGTAAGCAGCTGGCTAATGCATTGCTTTCAATGTGTGTTCCCCAGCGTGTACCTGCCTATTCTCTAGTAATCTCTCCTTTTTTCAATGAGTGGAAATAAAATAATTCTCTTCTTGCTAATTATCCCAGCATTGGGGTGAGCATTCCAGAGGAATGGGAGGAAAGGAATACCAAATTTGCCCTATTTCCCAGCTTTCTTGTGAATCAAGTTCCAGAAACAACCTCTGGTTTGGGCTCACCCATTTGGGTAATAAATAATTAAATTTATATGCTGCCCAATTCCCAGTGACACTGGGTGGTTTACAACTGTACATTTAAAAATGCAGAATAGCTCAACCTATACAAAAGTAGCACAACAGAAAACTTCAATGACAAAAAGAATAAACTGAGAAGGGAACAGAAATTTAAAAACAGTCATCAGTCATCCTCTCCAAAGGCTAATATAACTAGGCAAGTATTTAAGGCTCTTCAAAACACCACAAGATGGCACTGTTTAAATCTCAGGGGGAACTTCATTCCAGAGGCCAGGTGATGCTGTAGAGAAGGTCACACTTCCAAGCACCAATAGATGACATTGTTTAACTGATAAGACCCAGAGCACACCAATCATGCCAGATCAAACCAGTCAGACAGATACGAGGGAAGATATATTCATATTTTTCTAATGCTGTAAAGCAAAGTAAAGCTGAAATAAAAGCCCAAGCAGTCACAGCTGCGTGATTTTTCACATAGGGATCACTTCTGTTACTGGTCTTAATTGTGGTTACTTAAATTAAATCTCTTTGTACATTGTTTTCTAACAAAAAATAATAATTGAAACATACTGAATTACAACTCTCTCATACTCTCATAGCATCAGATTCAATGCATCTGTAAAACACTGAGGAAGTATATCTATTCCTTTGCTGTTTGCAGGAATACATTTACAAATATAGATGAAAATTAGGAGGTTCATGTTATATCCCCATTGTCAGATAAACTGTGATGAAAAATACGTGCTGCACTTTCAAAAGACAGCTGGCAAGGTGCTTAAGTCCTGTACTTTCATATTCCTCTGTAAAGGATTCTCTTGTCCACATTTGTCTTACTTTTTGGATTTTGGTTATGGATTGAAATATGGAAGAGAATAATTTTAAGCCCATAGGAACTGATTTTTGTAAAATCTTCACTTAGCAAGTACATTGATATTACAAGAGAAATAATGAAGGTGAAAGCCATTATTAAGTCTAATTCAGCTTTTCTTAATCCGATGTCCTCCAGAGATGTGGACACTGTAGTTTCCAGAAATTCCAGCCCGCATATCCAAAGCTGGCAGTAAATTGCAGTAGCTTCATTTTTCAATGTAAATGTTCATGATTTCCAGTTGACTTTTTTCTTCTTCTGAAAACTTTTTCATTGACATGTTATTTGACTTGAGATAATACCTCATTTACAGCCATATTATCTGCTTTGTGTATATAGTTTGGGGAAAAAAAACATTTTCCATTGGATAATAAGAAACATGGAGAAGTTATGCTAGCTAGCTATATTGTATTTGTATACATATACATGCCTATTCTCCTACATGCAGAAGGGGGGAACTAGATCTTAACTATATTTATTTTTAGTTGGTTCCAATCTTTGTAGCCATTAAAACTTCTTTACACTTGAGGAATGAGAAAAGCAAATTGCAGTCAGGCATGCAGCTTTGTAGCAGTAATATTGAGGCCATTTCATTTGATTAAAAATTATGAAATATGAAGCCATTCTTCTGACATAGAGGGATGTGTGGTTCTGAGTACAGGAATTCAGTTAAAACAAAAAGTTTTACCAGAGATCAGTAGTGTTTTCATCCCAGCTATATGTACTAAATTGCACTTGAATCATCATTTTTCATAGATAAAGCTGCTTTCTGTTGCACATTTTGATTGTATACTTCACTTCTTCATTTGCCCTTCTCTTCCATTTTACCCTCAAACAGTGTTAGCATAGCAGGAAACTGAAGGAATGGCACCAACTCTTCTAATCTCACTTGTGAAACAAGCAAAGATCAACTTCCTTTGTGCTAGCAATCTTTGACTGAACATTACTTCATTCATGGTTCTTTGCTTGCATGTTAAAAAAAAAGCAAGTCTCATTGCACTGGGACTATACACAATGTGGAAAGGCCAGGAGTGGTAGAGATAATGTTTGAGCACTAATTTACTATGTAAAAAGCATTTTTTTTTCTCCCATAAGTTCTGAGCTAATGATAGTAACTTCCCTGCATCCACTTGTAATGGTTTTAATGTTACCTGCTGAAAAGATGTCCTTTTATAGTTATCTTAGTGCTATGTTCAATGTCTTAGGACATGGGTGTCAAAATAGATCACGTCATGTGCTGAATCATGATGTATCACGACATTTTTTGCCTTTGCAGAGCTGGGGTGGGTGTGGCCTGTGCGTGACCTATCTGACCTACAGGCTGCCAGTTTGACAGGCCTGTCTTGGGGAATTATGATAATTTAATATAACTCTAGCTTTCTTAAAATCAATTTGCTGTCCATTTAAATTGTGAATTACATATTAACCAAACCTGCCTCCTAAACAAATAGACTTCACAAAGTCTCATCTTTTCTGAAGATACAAGCCATTTGGGAGTAATGTGAAGCCAGGGAAATGGGAATTCATTGGTGGAATTAATTTACACATTTGGGATTATATGTTAAAATTTATGATTTTCTTAATTCAGTGAGGTTGATATTATCTAGATTGTTTTAAGACAAATGTAGCATAAAGATCTTTGCATTTGTCGTGCTGATAATATGCTAATAATGCATTTTAAACAGTGTACATTCATCTGTTTTCGACTCCCTATGAACAAACCTGTGAGCTATGAATGTTTTTACCTTAGATCAGTGTCTCTTTATTCTCAATATACCATTTCCCAGAGCCATATCATAAAATGGAACCAATTCAAAGTTTCCAAGTGTTTTACTATATATATATAAATAAGAAGACTGATTAATCTAAAACATGAACTGATTTGTTATGAGTCTAGATGAAAACAGGTTCCTCATTAATGAAGGTTCTCTTAAATTCCTTTTCAGGATTGTAAATTGATTTGTTTTCTTTCAATTTTAATTTTCCTCATAATACCACAGTAGCCCAAACTGAAACTTGCTTAAAACAAAGTTGTTAATCTTTAAAAGTATTAACTACTAATAAAGAAAACACGTACTTTATATCATATAGGCAAAAGAATAGTGACCAGAACTTAGAGTAGACAAAATAATATCATTGCTGTGGGATTCATTCTACAGAACTTAATGGAAAGCACATCTGAAATTACAATTTTGTATGGTAGCGCCATAGTCATTTTTCTTGGTGACTTTGGACTCCATGCCTTAGAATAACATAGATATTTTCCCTATGGTTCTGACAAGTGAAATTGAAGTATCCACAGGATTAAAAATTTGTTTTGATCTTGCACATAGCCCAACCTAACTATTGTGAATTGACAGGATTTCTTAAATGGCTGACTTGTCACTTCAAAATCCTTCACATGTAAATTTGCATATTGATAGCATTAGAGTTCCATAATATAAAACCATTGCTGTTATATGCTTTCAGCAGATACATTGAATAATAAACAAGTTATCATTCTAAAACCCTACATAAATCCTTTGGTCCTGTAAATAGTATTTATTAAAATATATCTATTCTACTTATGTAGAAAATCCTGACGCACTTTAAAAAATATTAAGTATTATGAACAGAATTTAAAAAATCAATTAAAAACACCAAGGGGAGTAATGACTGGGAAAGATGACTTTTAAAAGATGTTAAAATACGGCTAAAATGTTGGGATTGGGATCTTGGCTACAGAATGGAGTTTACTATATATTGATAGGCAACAATCTACCAATAGGTAATCTTGTCAGCGCTCAAAAGCAAGCAACCAGTTTGGGGAAAAACTTTCTTGGACACATATTTCATTTCTTCTCCTGTTCGATTCACTGGTCCAAGCAGTGGGAATTTTAAATAAGTACAAGCAATCATATTTTTTAGAAAAAGAATGAACTACAGGAAACAAAAAACCATTACTAGAATCTGCCAGCATGTACATCTGTGATTAAAATGTATTTATAGGAAGTCTTTTACTACTGTCACTTAATGACCATTTGACATGATGGATCTCCCTAGTTATTTATGACTTGTTTTCAAAGTTACAACGCTATCACATAATCACATTTTAGGTGTCTGGCAACTAGCTTATCTTTATGGCTGTTTTCAATGTCCCGCGGTCACATGAGCACAATTTGCGCTCATTTTTTGCCAGTTCTTGGAGTTTATTTATATTTCTGGCAAAAAAAGCTCATTGGGAAAAATGGATTCAGTTAACAAAACACATTCGGTTAATGAGTGTGATGTTCACTTGGCAACTGGTGTTTACTTAACTGCTACAAAAAGGTCAAAAATTAGGTCTGGTCACATGATGCCTCTAGTTACCACCACAGTGACTTATGAACTAACTCCAAACTCAATTATGATTGTAAGTTTGAGGACTACCTGTATCTAGTTTTGGATCAATCATGTAAAGATAAATCACTTATATTCACTTAAGTGACAACTTAATAATAGCTGAGGCAGAAATTCTATATTTTGTGTCCTGGAAATTCCCATTAAAAACAGTATCTATGTTTCACTAAATACGTATAAGATTAAGCTACTGTACTTGAATTACCAGTTAATCCTGGCATTAAGCTTAAATATCAATAAGATCACTAGATAGATAAATTTTAAAAAACTTCATCCCAGAACACAATATTATCTAGGAACTGATACTTTAAATTATAATTTCTCACTATGTTATTTAGAAATTGTCTGCATTTTTAAAGTAGGAAGCACACACCCTAA